ATTAGCGTGAGAAATTGTAGCTTTCATTTTTGAGGCAACAGTTTGTCCATTGTAAGAGGACAAAAAAAAAAAAAAACAAACCACCAGAGCTTGCAGATAGAGGTGAGCAGTGGAGACTGGCATCAAGAGGTGAGAGCATTAACTAACTTCTCAGCATGGTAGTTAGGATGGGGATACTTCGTCTTAGGTTTATTTTGTAAAATAAATGCAGTGTAGACTGCAGCAACCCAAAGCATTTCCTACCCTGGGGTAGCATTCAGTGTCGGGTATTAGCAACACTTGATTTGATAATGGCTGATACTGTGACTGCTGCCTTGCTAAACAAGCACTTTCACTTTCTGACATTTGAGGGTGGGCTTTTCAAAACACACCTGAGAATTCAGTGACATGCCCCCATTGCAAACCACTAGAAATGAGGCATTTAACTTCCTAAAATACTTTTGAAAATCCCACCCATAATGTTTACTCAAATACTGAAGTTAAATGTGTCCATTCTTAAGGGCCACTCTACAGCTCTCTGTTGTATTCCTCCAAATGAATAGTTCTTCCCTCCCCCTGCTTTCAGTTAATGCCCTATGCATATTTATACAGAATCATGTTCCCCCTTAAATACTGTTGACTTTGGCTCAGTAAGGGACTCCTTATTTAACCTGTCCTTGTATGCTATTTTCTCAAGGCTTTGTATCATTTGTAATTCCTTTATTATTGTTGCCTGTGTCTTTTTGCATTTGGAAAAAAAACAGTTTTCCAGATTTATCAGTGGGTTATCCAGTCCAACTACATGGTTTGCTGGCTCTGGGAAGTCCTCTTAGATGGGCTGTCTGTGCCACACTACATTTAGCCTTGCTCCCAGTTATCTTTTCTTATGAACTCGGACAGGATCAGCTCCTGCATCTATTTGATTTGACAGAAAGGCTTTCCCTCCGTTCTCTCTGCATCACTACTTCTGGACTGGGGAGGGCGGGAAGAATTGCAGGGATGACATGGGATAATAGTCACAGATCATTTGAAGACAAAATTATGGATACTGTGCAGCAAGGTGGGTGTGGAGAAGGTGTTAAACAAGAGCTTCAGCCTGTTTCCCCTATGGTACATTTCACTGAGGGGCATTTGCTGCCCTTTTAAAAATGGGAGAAGTGCATCTGTAGGAAAGCTGAGAAATTAATCCGCTTCCCTTGAGTCTCAGTCAAGGTGGGAATAGTGCTGAGAACAGGCAGGTTTATTCCAGGCCTTCTCAGTCACTGTGCCACAAAGGCTTCTTTTGGCTGTTAGTGGTTTTGTTGTGTTCTTGTGTTCACATTTTAAGGCAAATGATGGCAGTTGTTGATAAACACAGAAGCACAGATTTCAAACTGCATCTTTCCATTGGTGGAAACTTTGGACATTATTAATTTGTAAGAAAAAGTACTAAAATTAATAGCATTCCAGGATTTCAGACTGTGCTTTCCTGTATTGCTCCATAAATGTGCTTTTGTGGAAAAAAAAAAAAATTCCACTACATACTTGTTTCTTGAAAATCTACTGCAATCTTTTCTCCAAGTAAGTCTTTAAAAATATGTGCTCAAAACACCTGCTTGCTTATCTGGCTGGTCAGGAAGAAAATGCTGTGTTGACAGTAGAGTTTACAGTGAAGATTCCCTCGGAAATGTAACACCTGCATATACTCCTCTCTCTGCATTCATTTGGAAAACTCCAAGCTCTTTTTATTGAAGAAAATGTAGGAGAGAAGGAAAAAAACACAATGGAAAGAAAGCTGGATTTTGCATTCACACTTGAGTGTAGGCTGTTAAAACGGACCTGAAATGTTCCTGTTGATTCTACATTTCTTTTTCCAATGAAAGGGACAAAAAGAAAATAAAGGTTATTTATAAAAACGTGTCTGTTGGAATATGCTTTGAAACATAATACCATTCTAGTAATTTTAAGTCCTATGTATTCAGTGTTAGAGCATGTTAATATTTATTTTTTTTGCTGCAGCAGACATTATAGATGAGTATTTCAGAAGTGGGCAAATTACATATTTGAAACTACGTGAAAAATGTATTGAACCTTCACATAGGTGAGAGAACACCAAACATGCAGGTGAAGCATAGTGAAACAAGGCTGAAGAGTGTGGAAAGGGTGAGGAAGAAAGTCAGTGAGATGCAGTGCCGAAAAAACTCCGAATGTGTTCATGTTAATATAACAGATACTCGTTCTTCTGGTTTTAATCCGTATTCATTTTTCCTTCATCAGCCCTTTAGGTTTGGCCCTTTGACTACAAAACCACAATTGGTGGTCTCTGCTGTAAATCTTCCTTTCTCTCACAGGACTGTGGGGAGCACTGTTTTTCCAAAAGGCACATCGTGGCATGTGGTAAATGGTCTGTGCGGGCCGCCTTCAGTCTGTGTGTGAGCCATCTGACTCTGTACTTTAATTAACTTCTCTGCTGTGCCAGAGGGAGGTTGTGAGCTGTACTGGAGGTCGGGTCATTGGTCTTACACTGGATCCGTGGGGGTCATCGTTCTCTAGGAGACCCACGTTGCTGACAAGCAACGTGATGAGTTTGAACTCCAGCCTATGGACTCTGTTTGTAAATGCTGCAGAAAGTTTGTGTCACATTTATTCATGGTTACCTGCCTGAACCTCCTCCAATCCACTGAACTTAGTGGAGTTATCCGCTTGCATAAAACTGAACCGAAGGTAGAGATGTGCTTTATGTCTGCATAAATAATCATCCCTAACAACTGTTAAAAAATAAAAATAGAAGCCAGTGTGCATTGCAGTGATTAGTTTAGCATGATTACATGAAATGGGTATGGCTCTTAATTAGTAGTTAGACTTGTAAAATAGCTAATGTTTTTGTCTCATATTAATACAACAGGATTATTGGTATCTATGAAGTTAGGAGGAGTCTTTGGAGGAGCAGATAATGAGTTGCAGCTTAAGGGGGGTGGAATGTGTTAGGTCTGTCAGAGTGTTTTATGGGGAGCTGTAAAAATGGAAACTGTACTTGATGCTTGCAGATTATTCTTATATTCCTTTCACAGGAAGGCACACCCATTCTCAAAAATATAATTGTGGGCTCTCTCTTTGCAGATTTAACACACACAAGAAGAGACATACGCATTAAAGCTGGGAAATGGAGCCAAGGCTTCACTTCTGTGCTGAGCTCTGACTTTGGATAGAACTACTTTAAACTCGTAACTCATAGGCAGTAGCTTCATAGAAGGTTTTTTTGGGTGTCATTTTTTGTTATTTTACAATTTTTTTTTTTTTTTTTTTTGCCAAGTTAGGGTCTTACACAGCAGCTGTACATCCAAAACTTACTTCTGCTTTTTCTGCTTAGGAAAATGGCAAGCAAATAAGCCATTAACAGCAAAGGGCATTTGTTAATTCCCAGTCTAATTATGTGTACTGGCCACATAAAAAAATGATTTGTGATGTCAACCTAACTTATTCCTACCAAAAATTTCACTTGCTATTGCTATTCCTGTAATGAAAATACAGGAAAAATGTGATACTTAGTATAGTTGTATGCAGTTTAGGTAAAATATGAAGAAATATTGAAGAAAATATTTGAAGAAAACAAAAATTGAAGAAATATGTATGTAGATGTAAGAAAACTCATGGAGCCAGGAAAGCTTGTGGTGCAATACTTCTTGTGCCATTTTGGATATTTTGATTAAAACATTCTTATACTTTGTCAGAGACCTTTGTAATTCTAATTGTATGTGATAAATTATCTAAGTTTGAACTGTGGTAATCTCTGTTTATTGCAAAATAAAATCAGTGTGGCTGTGTCATAAATAAGTTTGATGGCATTCAGAGCTGGAGTAGATGGCATTCAGGCTGGAGGAGCCCCTTGAGCAGTTTGTGTAACTGTTGGGATTGCTGCATTCATTTGGATTTTGGGATGCATGCTTGCTTTTCTGTCCATTAACTCCAAGAGTCATTAGGCAAATCAGTCAGTCATGGCAATCCCAGAGCCTCTACTGGGGCAGCTCAGAAATACTTGCCATTATTTTTTCTGCTACATATTGTATACGTGTTCATGTTTTTATATTAATGCCTTTGAGAATAGCTTGCAGATTCATCAAAATACGTATCCCATTGGTGTGTTCTGACACCTTTGATTACTCTATACCTGCTTTTCATTCTGTGTCATTTTCCTGCTTTTACTGGTTGTGCCAGAAGGAACAATATTGTGCTGCTGCCTTTAAGGGCAGTTTCAGAATCTAGGGCCTTTTCTAAGCATTTTCTAAGTGACTGTTTCCTCACGTGTGTTGCCAGATTTCCTTTACCAGTATTTACTGTGATTTATATACAAGTGCTAGCAAAGAAATTTTCCTCCTTGAGCTCAAATCTCTTTCTCCTTGAACGAGACTGAGGCAGGTGTGACTGCAGCAAGTTTAATTCTGGTAATCATCAGAATGAATCTGCCTTCCCTCTGAATCCATTCCACAGCTTCTACAGATGAAAGTGGTAGAAAATGTTCTGAAGAGTCATCAGTGGCTATGTAGTTAGAGGATGGAGCCATGAGTGCTTAAGTAGGAAACCGTATGACATCTGCTGATTTGCATTAAGTAAAATGAAAAGCCTGAGCTGTGAGGGATTCAGAATATGCATATGAATTAAGGATTTGCAGGACATTGCAGTACATAGTGTTCAGCATACCATACACGGATTACACATTAGCTGTGTATAACATACAAGTGATAAACTCCTGTATGACTTTGGTGTTTGTTGTTTTTTTGGTGGAGTAACGCATCTCATATGTATACAAGATTTCCTCGTGTTATCTTTGAACGCTGGTCTCAGCCAGATGAACATCCTTAGAATGCAGAGGATATTGCCTCTGGCTGGAAGTCTGTACAAAGGAAACCAACTGGTAATATGATACTTATAGTACAGTAATATGTTTTATGTTTCACCTCTGTTGATATTTGTTTTTAAAGCCACAGACAAGGCCATTAGGCTCTCAGTTGATGTATTTATATGATTTCTCTCTTCCTTACCAGGCTGGTATGATAAGAACTGATGAGGATGAATACTTCATTGAGCCTTTGGAAAGAGGAAAACAAATGGAAGAGGAAAAGGGAAGAATCCATATGGTGTACAGGCGATCAGCTGTAGTGCAACATGTCACTGATACTCTACCTGATGTCCACACTGAAGGTACAGTACACCTGTGTGCTTGTTTACAAATCTCTTCCAGGTAACTGTAGCCTGCTGTAGCTTTTGAAAGGGGCAGTTTTGACTGAGCTGCTGGAAAAGACAGTTTTTAAATATTTTGCTAAAATACATCAATGTCATGTACACAGTTTCTCTGCCAAGAGCAGCACTTGTGCATGCGTCTTGGAGACCAGAACCTAGCCATGAGATGTTCTCTTCAAGAAACATTGCAGAATTCATGTTTGGTTCCTGCTTAAGCCAAGAGCAAAGTTTGTACTGATTTCAGTGGAAATAAGTCAGAGCTCTGCCTAATATGGTAAGATGTTATGGGACATGTTAATAGAAATACTCATATGACTTTAATATTCTAAGTTGTTATTAAAGTTCGTCTGTCTATGCAACTTCTGTTTAAAATTTGGATCTTATTTCTTTCCAAATAATAGCTGAATTGCGCCAACGGCTGATACTGTTTTTCCCCTTCTATGAGTTGCAGTTAATGCAGTTTGAAATCAATTGTCTTAATTGGATATATGCTTTGACAAATTCCAGAGTTCCTCTTGGTCTTAAAGATAATCTGGTCTATCTGAGAATAATTATTGTGTAGTTTTAATCCATTCCAGCACATGTTTTTTCCCTTGTTTTAGTATTAAATGAATGCTTACAAGCCAGCATATTGCATAGGGAATGTTGAAGTTTTTGACACTGTGGATTAAAGAGCAGCTTCAAGCTCCTTCTGCAGTCTGTTTTTTCAACATCTCTCAGATTCTCAAATTCCTTTTGTACTTCCTTGTGTTCACTTGTTCATGCAACTTATAAGTGTTTGAAAGGAACAAGAAGTACTGTAGAGAACTAGAATTAGATACAAATATTAAGCAGAGAGGATGTAACCACTCCTTCATCACCGGTCCTCATGAACTTGAATTATTTGGTGTGGGTTTGGAATTTTGTCTCTGGAAAAATTAAGTAGGAATTGACAATTCCTTGAATATTTCCTTGAAATCAATTGACATTGATTTCAAATAAAATCCCGTCAGGATTTTGTTACTCTTTCAGAAGGTAAGTCCATGCTGCCAACAGCTCTATGGCATGGCAGTATCAGGGCGGGTTTGGGGACCAGCAGCAGTCTGAACCATACAGGCTAATAAACCTAGCATTTCTCTGAGCTCTGTGCTGCCAAAGGTATTTTGCTTTTGATAAGCCAAATGAGGTCTTTTAAATCATGCATCTCTGTTGTGTGAGTGACTGAACGATGCTAAAAAAGAGCTTTTTTGCTAATGATAACAGGCTTGATGCTGTGTTTCTACCTTGAAACCACTTTGTCAGTTGGGCTGACAGAGTCAAACCAGACAGACAACAGTACATTTTGATGAAGGAGCCTCTGGTCTGTATTGGTGAACTCAGCATCTCCTTCCTTTACCATGCTTCATGTACTCACAGACTTTATTTGCACATACTTTGAATCCATAGAAACCTTTGCAAATTCCAATTAGTTATAACATGGGGAAAGTCTGCAGGAACATGCAATAGCTGCGGCCAATTATTCACAGCTCTGTGGAAGAATTTATAAATTGCAGTTCGTAATACATGAAGATTATTGTGAGTCTTTGAATGTTGTTTGGCATGTGGTCAGTGCATAAAGCTCTTAATGCCTTCAGCATATTCCGATCTTCTGCTTGGTTGGTGGGAATCCTTAAGAACAGCAGCTACCTTATTGAAACTGGTAGTGATCTTTTTAGTTAGTGTGAAGGCCACATGTCTGTAGCTGACTTCTTTGTGATCAAGAAGACCAAAAAGGTTTGTTTCGTACAGGTAGCTTTGTTTCGTCTTTCAGCAGAGGAGATCTGTTTCTATGATGCTGAGTGTTTGTTTGGAAACGATCTATGCAGTACATAGTACAGCCTTTATTGGTGAGGAGAACTGAGAACCACAGAGGCACATGTGGCTATCTTTAGTATATTCTGTGAAAAAGGAAAGTTATGAAATAAGGCAGAACTTGATCAAATGTTGACATACTTCCTGGACTAGGGGAACTTACTGTGTCACCAGATTACTTTGGAAAAGTCTGTTTTAAGTGGAAGTGGAGGATATGGGAGAAGTGGTGCTTGTGTCTACCACGTGTATAAGGCTTGTCAGTCTTATATTGAAACAGTTGAGCGCAGTGTAATGTTTCTGGGATTGCTCTAAGCCCGGTTGGTGCTATAGAGAGCTGAGCAGTACAGATCCCAGGTTACCAACCTGTTCACTCCTAGCAAATTGAAGAAGTACAAACTTTTAGTTATGGTAGAGTCCAGCTGTCTGTGTTCATTGTGTATTCAGTTAGATGCTTTACTGTTGTACTACACAAATATTCATACAGAATGTTTGTATATGTCAATTTACCTGAGGCAGTATCTTCTGATGAAGGAGCTCCATCGAAGCTGTCACTTTCTCACACTTTCTCTGACTGATATTTCTATGTTTCTTTTGGCTTGCCTGAGCTGCATTGAGTGAAGAATTGTCTTGGACCACATAGAAAATATATCTGTAGTTAATGTGTACAGGCAACGGAACTTTCTATTTTTTCCATTTTTTATTGAAGCATAAAAGGCAACAAAAACAGAAAATTAGAGGTTTGGGCAGCATTTGTTTTCTAGCTGTCCACAAGATATCTTTTCCCTCTTCTTTCTTTCATAATTTAAAATACAAAACCAAGGAATGCTGTCTTGTTCATCCACTTATGTATCACTGTGTTTACAACTAAGTTGTTGATTAATGTGTTTTGAATTTTAAGTTCCTAGAAGTAGTATTCACTGATTTGTGGATAACTCACATAGCTATTCTTGGGTGAAAGTGTCCAGTGATGCTGATGTATGATCCAGTCCTGTAGTACATGCAGATTATCAGGGTAGGAAAAAGGGAGTGCTTTATACTACATTGCTGCCCATCTTTTTTTGACAGAGCTCTATTCCTGTAAGACACTCAGACTATTTCATTCCAAAGTTTATATTCATAGGCAAAACCTTATTTAAGATCAAAGAATTTCCTCTGCCAAATAACCGAAGTCTCACAGGCCTTTTGGTTCTGTGTGTATGGTGTCTTACTCTATCTTTATTTTTATTTTTTTTATCATTTTCTTTATTGTGAGCTGACTTACATCCAGAGAGTGGTGTTGGCAAGTCCAGATCTGTGCTTCTGAGGTAGAAAAAACCTTCAAGCCTTGGTAAAGTGTGTCTGGACAGCAGATTTTAAACATCCTTTTTGAAAGGTAATAAACACATAAAACCTCTCTCTGATTTTTGCCTTGCAAGTTGGTTCAGTGTATTAGATAAACTGTTTGTAATGCAGCTCTTTTTTCAATTCAGAAGTGGTCAGAGAACCTCTTCTATAACCCACGTATAAGAACACTGGCTCCATTGCTAATCATAGTGTAGATAACAGTATGGCATGCCTGGGCTTTTGTGAGAACGCTGTAGATAGATATTTGAGATACTGTCATTATCTTGAACTTTCTCCCAGGAGGGTTTCTTAGAATGTGACAAATGACTTTTCTTCTAGAGATGAACTTCCATTCATCTCTAATTCTCAGATCTGCCTAGAGGTCTCCTTTTCACAGGTAAACAAACCACTTTCCAGTCCGTTATAAATCATAGAGTCATTAAATGATTTAGGTTGGAGGGGACCTTAAAAGCCCACCCCGTTCCAATCCCCAGCCATGGCCTGGTTGCCATGCACCAGATCAGGCTGCCCAGGACTCCATCCAATCTGGCCTTGAGTGTCTCCAGGGATGGGGCATACATAGCATCTCCGCACAACCTGTTCCTGAGGCTGCCTCACCACCCTCTGAGTAAAGAATTTCTTCCTAATGTCTAGCCTAAATCTCCTCTCTTTTCGTTTTAAGCTATTCCCCTTTGTCCTGTCACTATTAGACCATGTAAAATGTCAATCCCTCTCCTGTTCATAAGCTCCCTACAAGTGCTGGAAGGCCACAGTGAGGTCTCCCTGCCGCCTTCTCTTCTCCAAGCTAAGCAATCCCAAATCCCTCAACCTTCTTTTATTAGGAAAGGTGCTTCAGCCCTTCGATCTTCTTGGCCTTCTGAACCTACTCCAGCAGCTCCACATCCCTCCTGTACTTGGGACACGGTATTCCAGGTGGGGCCTAACAAGAACAGAGTAGAGGGGGATAATCACATTCCCTGCCCTGCTGGCCACCCATCAGTGTTATGCCATCAGCAAACTTGCTAAGGATACATTAAGTCCCGCTGTCTGTTTTGTTGATAAAGATGTTGAAGAGCACTGGTCCCAAGATAGTCCTCACTCATGATTGGCCTTGTACATAGAGCTGTTGACAACAACCTGACTGTGACCATCCCACCAATTCTTTATCCGCTGAATATGCCACCTTTCAAATCTCTGTCTCTCCGATTTAGAGATAAGCATGTGATGTGGGATCATGTCAAAGGCCTTGTACAAGTCCAGTTAGACAACATAATTTGTTCTTTCTTTCTCCTCTGATGCAGTCATGCCAACAAAGAAGGCCACCACATTGTCCAGGCATGATTTGCTCTTGGTGAAGCCATGTTGACTGTATCGGTTCACCTTCTCATCTCACATGTGCCTTAACATCTCTTCCAGGAGGATCTGCTCCTTGATCTTCCCAGGCACCAGAGGTGAGGCTCACCAGCTGTAGTTCCCTGGCTCAGCTGTGTGCCATGGTCAGCCGTAGTCCTTGGTCAGCCATAATGGTTTCCTGCCTCCTCTGCTTGATTTCTTCTGCTGAGGGATGGAGAGCTCTTGTGCTCTCAGAAATGTGTCCTTAAAGTGCTGTCAGCTCTGTACTGTTCCTTCACCCCTAAGGATAGTTTCCCAGGGGATCTCATTCAGCAATTCCTCAAATAGCCTGAAGTTTGCTCTCCTGAAGTTCAGGGTCCTGACTCCACTGTGTTCCAGGCCCAGATTCCTCAAGGTCTCCCGAGCTTGGTTGCTGCAGTACAGGCTGCCTCCAATCTTAACCTCTTTAGCGATCT